CCCCTGACTTACAGCCGTTCATTTAGCGACCGTCGCTGAAAGAAGTGCCCTAGGACCCTTACGGTTGAAATTCAGAGGCTTGGCGACCGGCTCCTATTTACGACGGCGGCAGTGTCTCCTTTTGCGACCTTCGGGCGAGCAAAGTCCACAGGGAAGCCGGGTTCTGCTTAATGACCGTGCAGCTAACTTTGTCCCGCTTAACAACGGTGTGTCCAGCAGGACAAAGCTCACTTAGCAGAGGTCTCGCTTAGCGACGTAAATGATGGCCGCTAGCTGAAAGAGGTCACTGCCATGCTGTCTCTCATATCGTCTCCACTTTTCTTGGTTTTATTTAATTTTTTTTTTCAGACCTGCCTCCCTGGACGCCTCGGTGTTTAGCCTTTTGGCCGGCCTGCTTCACGCCAAACTTCCCAACGGGAAATTCCAGCAGCACCTCAAATCGCTCCCAAACCTGTGCAACTTCTGCACCTCTATTTTGAGCCTTTATTTTCCGTGGGACGGAGGTGAGTTTGCGTCATCGCTTTGGTGAAGGTCCTCGGGGACGGGTGCGCAGCCGAGGAATCAGCTTTAAGAGAATAGCGGAGTTGGGAGGGATCTTGGAGGTCATCTAGCCCAACTCGATGCTGAAGCAGGAAACAGACAAGGGGCTGTCCAGTCTCTTCTTGAAAACCTCCAGGGGTGAGGAAGGAAGGAAGGAAAAATAGCAGAATAACAGTTGAAAGGGACCTTGAAGGTCATCTAGTCCAACTCCCTGCTCAAGCAGGAAACACCATACCATTTCAGATAGGTGGCTGTCCAGTCTGTTCTTGAAAACCTCCAATGGTGAGGAAGGAAGGGAGGGAGGGAGGGAGGGAGGGAGGAAGGAAGGAAGGAAAGAGAAAGAACGAAAGAACGAAAGAACAGAGATGGAAGGGACCTTGGAGGGCATCTAGTCCAACCCCTTGCTCAAGCAGGAAACACTATACCATTTCAGATAGGGGAGGAGGGAGGAGGGAGAAAAGAAGGGAGGGAGGGAGGAAGGAAAAATAGCAGAATAACAGTTGAAAGGGACCTTGAAGGTCATCTAGTCCAACTCCCTGCTCAAGCAGGAAACACTATACCATTTCAGATAGGTGGCTGTCCAGTCTGTTCTTGAAAACCTCCAGTGGTGAGGAAGGAAGGGAGGGAGAAAGGGAGGGAGGGAGGGAGGGAGGAAGGAAAGAAAGAAAGAAAGAAAGAAAGAGAAAGAAAGAAGGAAAGAAAAGAGGGAGGAAGGAAGGAAGGAAGGAAGGAAGGAAAGAAAGAAAGAAAGAAAGAAAGAAAGAAAGAAAGAAAGAAAGAAAGAAAGAAAGAACAGAGATGGAAGGGACCTTGGAGGTCATCTAGTCCAACCCCCTGCTCAGGCAGGAAACCCTATCCCACAAGACCCATCCTTGCAACCATCCTAAACGAGTCAGTTGCCAAAGGTCTGAATTTCCATCTCTTGGGGGACGCGGCAGGGATCGTCAGTCTGAAAAACGGTCCCAAGTCCTTTTGTCAGCGCCGTCGTAACTTTGAACGGTCACTAAACAGAATGGCTGTCAGTCCAGAACTCCCTGTAAAACGTGGTCTCAGCGGACCACAGGACGCTGCAGCCACAGCCGTGTCGCCGTGCTGTGACCACATGGGTGGGACGACCGCGGGAACCTGGGAAAGGTTATGAGGCGCCCCAACTGGGACCACCTGCCGTATCTTCGAACGGCCGCTAAGCGCGGGAACCTTTGCCGTGTCTTGACCGAATGTGACCCCTTCCGCAGGGGATCCCCCACCCATCGTTCCCAAATTGGCCTCCGGCGACGGCAGCGACGGCGAAGAAGAGACGCACAAGCGACGCAACCAGTTCCTCTCAGTCCTGGTGGCGCTGGTGGCTATGGTGGGCTACGCCTTCCTGACCGGCATTGTGTCCATCCAGAAGGAGAGCCCACACCAGGCCGGTCCCCACGCCATCACCCTGGACGAGGTGGAGGAGGAGGAGGAGGAAGAAGAGTAAGGGATGCGGCAGGACCGGCTTCCAGCAGACTTTTATCTTTTTTATTCTAGAGCCCAGTTGGATCCGGTCTCGCTGTTGCGACAAACTTTTTTTAAACCATCATTCCAAGGAAAGCCCAACCGGGGCCAATAAATTGGAGCAAGCTGCAGGTTTAGCCCCTGGTCTTTTCTTTACTCCTTCTTTAGACCGTGAATTTATATTAATATAACTTCTTTCTTTCTTTCTTTCTTTCTTTCTTTCTTTCTTTCTTTCTTTCTTTCTTTCTTTCTTTCTTTCTTTCTTTCTTTCTTCTTCTTCTTCTTCTTCTTCTTCTTCTTCTTCTTCTTCGTCTTCGTCTTCGTCTTCTTCTTCGTCTGTTCTTCACTCCTTTAGACCGTGAATTTACATTAATATAACTACTTCTTTCTTTCTTTCTTTCTTTCTCTTTCTTTCTTTCTTTCTTTCCTTCTTCTTCTTCTTCTTCTTCTTCTTCTTCTTCTTCTTCTTCTTCTTCTTCTTCGTCTGTTCTTCACTCCTTCTTTAGACCGTGAATTTACATTAATATAACTACTTCTTTCTTTCTTTCTTTCTTTCTTTCTTTCTTTCTTTCTTTCTTTCTTTCTTTCTTTCTTTCTTTCTTTCTTTCTTTCTTTTCTTCTTCTTCTTCTTCTTCTTCTTCTTCTTCTTCTTCCTCTTCTTCTGTTCTTCACTCCTTCTTTAGACTGTGAATTTACATTAATATAAATTCTTCTTCCATTCACAACCTCAGAGTGCTGGAAAGAGCAAACGTGTGTGTGTGTGTGTGTGTGTGTGTGTGTGTTGGAACCTCAAGGGAAGAGATGAAAACCATCCGCTGTTTCTCACACACACCTCCCTGTAGTAAACCACAGGCCACCCTGTTTGCCAGTATAACAGTATAATACACACACACACACACACACACACAAATATATATACTGGTCACAAAAATAAAGGGAACGCAAACCCCTTCAGTTCCATGGTAAAATGTTCCCTTTATTTTTTTTGAGCAGTATATATATACATACCTAGATAGGTATGAGTGGATAATGTGTGGAAACTGGCAAGGACAGTGAAGCTGGCAGGAAGAAGGGAAAACGGA